GGTGGATATAATGCCAAAAAAGAAACCTGCTAACGTCCCATAACTACCTTTTGGAAAGCTAAACAGCATTTGCATAAAACATGCAAATGATACACCGTTTTTTTTGTATTTTCAGAGACGCTGTATTTGTTGGAAATACCTGTCGAGTGTGTTTTTTTCCTGTCTGCCTGTGAGGGCAGCCTGCATACAGGCTCTCTTGCCGAAATACGCTGCATCGTGGCAGTTAGTTTAGGACGTTTCATGGGCACTGACATGGACACAGGCAAGAATGGTCTTACTGATGGGTAAAAAGGGACGCCGGAGGCAATTACCTCCCTGACTCTCTGTCCTCGGGTCAAAAGGGGAACGGCCATAAACGCCTGGACACCAACAGAGACAGACCTCTGACCATGCAGGCCTTGTTTCGCTCTCCCTGCAGCTACGTCTGTCAGCTGGATGAAGAGGCCTTGGTTGTTTAAATTTATAGCACAACGTTAATTCTGTGTCATGAACGAACAACAACGCATGCATTCACCCAACATGGAGGTATTAATCCTGGTACTTTGTACCACATGAAGATAGGAACATTATGAATTTCCCATCATGAAATAATAAATGCTTTATACCTGTACATTGATTTCCAAGGCCCAGATGTTAACACACCTGCTATTACCTACCATGTCTTCAACTGGATGGTGTCAGAGCAGCAATAATTCTGTTCCATTTTTTTTGCTGCTGAACGTGTTCGACAAGCTCAACAAGAATATAATACACACTTGTCAAATAGGCAGGCAACTCTGTCACCTCTCAGACAAAGGGCTTTGAGTCATGGTGCTCTCTGGATGCCAAACAGCTGAAGACGCTTTTATTATCGTAAAATCTATTGCATGATGTCATTCTATTGAAACCTATTCACTGACTGGTAAATTGGGAAAAAGCTAACGTTTCAGAAAAAATGCTTTAATTCCAAGTTGTAGAAAGTATTTAAACACATAAGGCATAGGTTGTGTTGCCATTAAATGATTCAAGCTTAATAAACTAGGTTTTTCAATTTCCATTCATGCGAGGAAAGGAATTTTTCAGCTGTTAACTGTGCAGGTTGGGGAGAGCTGAATGAAACGGTCTGGAATGAACCATTACAGCTTAGGGTGTCGCTAATGTGGCACACACCAACTATCCGCGAGTGGAATTCACATATTAAAAAGTTATATTGCAAATTATACGTATATAGACTTGTTTTCATTTAACTATGAAACATAAACTTGACTGGGAATGATTTACATGACCGTGAGACTTGTAAGAAAACATCCCCCCCCCTGCTGTAGGTTGGACCGCGCCAAGATGATGTTACGAACAGCCCTTTAAAGTCGCTCTACTTCCGAGATGAAGTAAAGTAGAGCTCCTCCGCGCAGCAAGAAGGCACGAAGTGACAATCTATCTGTGCGAAATAACCCCAGTTAGACAGGATATGTTGAGGATACACAGTCGGACTTTGGGATGTTTCACGAACTCGGAATCAAAGGACTTTTATTTTTGTCCGAATCTATGCTGGACGTGGCGGTTGCGACTGCACTGAAGTAGTCTACATTTGCGGCAAAAGAAACGACCGTTTTTCTTTATTATTTTTTCATTTACGTGCAAAGACACCAACAGCAACCTGGACTACTCTTTTGGACCAGGAATGGTTTATCCTCCCGAAGGTTTATTCTACATCGAAATGGATCAAGCACCACCAGGTAAGTTAGGGTTAAAGGCAGCCATTGTCTGATCTGCGGAGGGTCCAAAAAAAAAAAATTCGCTTTTTCTTGCTTTCTCCTTTTGCTTGCATCCTTTCATGTAACGCCTTTACTAAAGCTGACAAACGCCGTGCAGGTGATAGTAAAAACGTTATAATGGCCCGGGTCCTCGGTGCTGAGCTCCCCCAGTGGCATTGCCCAGGCATGCATAGCGCAATTCACTTGCCAATTACGTAATACCTTTCGGTGGAACCAGGCGCAGTGGCTTTCTTTTGTCCCGGGCGCAGATGTCAAAAAACTTGGGACACAAAACGTATGACAGTTTTCGCATCTCTCCCGTACGAATCAAACACATTCACTGCATGCGTGGTGACAACGCGAAGAGTGCATTTTGAGAAAGGGAACGTGGTTTAGAGGGTTGCGTTAATAAAGCGCCGCATGAAACGACCGCTTTGTTCTCCTCTGCAGCCAGCCGTGGTTAATTTGTGCGCTAGCTCTGGAAGTAGGCTAGAGGCAAGCGGGACTAGGCAGCACGTCTCATGACTTAACTCCGGGCAACTCACGAACACTTCATTTCTTATTTACATTTTGTCACTTGACCTCAACGCGTTATTGGCTTATTAACATGTGCGCAACACTTTAATTGTGGCGCGATAGTGCCTTTATTCTAAACAACCACCTGGCTAATTTAATTTGACACCAGCTAATTAAAATTGCACCATGATGTAATTAACTATTTTATGTGTGTTATCAATGACTACTGCAGTTGATATGACACAATAGAGTAAGAGCTCAAAGTGATTACTACTGACAATAATAACAATACAGACGCGCTTTATTGTTCCTATGACGTCTGTGCTGTAGAGGCACTTTTACTGACACTTCAGACTTCACTGTCTTTTCTGAATTGTACACATTTGATTTGATATTTGTTATTATTCCACACTTATTATTAATGTATTATTAGTATTACACGCTCTGTGCTGGTATGCGCGTGTGTGTGTGTTTCGGAAGCCGGTAGAGTTTCTTGGCAGGAGACGGATAAGGGGGGGGAAGGTCTGCGGATTTAATTTTGCTGAGTTCAGGAGCTTTCGGCTTTTTTACGTGCTGTTGCACCTGCCTTTTGTTTGTTTTAAGGTCAGGAAAAAGAGGAGAGCGGATGGTGGGAGAAACCCACATTTTCTCCTCTCTGAGGCTGCTCTTGTATTCTCCCCTACTGCCTCATGAAAGGCACTGTTGTCCCGCAGTGAAATATATCGCCCTTCACCTCCTCTTGATGCGGTTTTAGGGTAAAACGCTTTAGTCGTTCAGCCACGCTCGCAGATAATATTCCTTGAAAGGTTGATGGGAAAACTTAAAGAGTGTCTGTTGGCGTGCAATTGTTATAAAAATGGGAGGGCTGGTCCAAGACACTCATAATATAATTCATGGATTACTCAATCCCTTTTCGTGGACTTCGGGACAGAGCCAGAGGCTGCTGCAAACTTAACAAGTTGGACTTTTATCTGCCTTGCAAGAGTTGCAGGCAGCTGAGCACATAAAGCGTACAATTTCTGGAACACTAAAAGAAAACATGTTTCACATTTGTTGACTGATGGGGCTCAGAAAATGAGGACTGACTGCCACATTTCCCTTTTTTTTTTTTTCTTTTTTTTTTTTTTTTAGTGCTGACCACACTTGGTAATTATTTGGCAAGTGATATCTCTTGGAGACATGCCTGGGCTTGTCCCAAGATCTTGACAGGCTCCATCAAGCAAGGGTGTGACAGAGTGTGTGTGTGCGTGTCGGTTGGGGGGGTGGTATACACTCAGAACACTGCATTTGCTAAACATGCATATACACAGACATCCTTGAATGCAATAGTCATAATATTGAGAGAGCCGCATTCACAGTAGGTTCACCTGATCTCATAACAGATCGATGCTATGCGATCTCTGATAGATCCTTTGCATTTCCTTTTCTTAAACTGCCTCTTTCCCTTCTGCTTGTAGCTCTCCCCCCCAGGTCAACCAAGCCAGTGTCCTCCACCATGAACAACAACTGCCCTTCGCCACCTACATATACGCTACAGGACGCCGAGTGGTATTGGGGAGACGTGAGCAGGTAAATGATCTTTAAACACTACAAACACTGAGTATGTGTTGTTTGATTGTTTAGCGTTTGGGTAAAGTTAGACCCGTTAACCGATAACTGATTTTCCCTTCAGGGATGAGGTGAACGAGAAGCTCCGAGACACACCTGATGGCTCTTTTCTGGTGCGCGACGCATCCACGAAGCTACAAGGAGACTTCACGCTGACGTTGAGGTAAGCAGTAACATAGTCTGATCGTAACAGCACGACCACAAACACCATCAACGGGGGTTTCAGTTTTACATCAATAATCTAATTTTGCGATACGACTCTCCGCTTTCTCAGGAAAGACGGGCACAACAAGCTGATCAAGATTTACCACTGCGATGGGAAGTACGGCTTCTCCGACCCCCTCACGTTCACTTCAGTGGTGGAGCTCATTTGGCACTATCAGCACCACCCGTTGGTGGAGTACAACGCCACACTGGACCTAATGCTCACGCATCCCGTGTCCCGCTTCCAGCAGGTCAGTGAGCGCCAGTATTTTAGTTTTCAAGAGTCTGAAAGCGTAAAAATGTTTATTTGTTTTAATACGGAGGATTATCAATTGTACATATTAAGTGTCGTTTTTTAATTTTACTTCAGGTGAAAGGGGACAGTGTCGATGTCGCTGGAAGAAAGCTCAAGGAGGTTCACTGTCACTATCAGGAGAAGTCAAAGGAGTTTGATCGGCTTTATGAAGCTTTCACAAAGACCTCACAGGTAAAAGCAAACCTATTAAATGAGCCCTGCATGTTCCCGACTGTCTGTGACATCAGTACTTTTTCTGAACAGTGGGATTTACATTGATCGGTCTCCTGAGTCTTTTCTAAGTGGATGTATTGTTTGTGACAAAGGAGATCCAGATGAAGCGAACAGCAATTGAGGCCTTTAACGAGACGATGCTGATCTTTGAGGAGCAGTGTCGCGAACAGGAGCGCTACGGAGAAAAGTTTGAGATGAACAAGCAGTCCGAGGGAGCCGACAAAGATCTGGAGAGGTAATTCATTACATCACGGTCCGAAGAATGTCCCTAAATTTGGTTCAATTTGGCTGCATGTAAAGCCATTGTCGTGAACTGCATTCAGACCTGTGAACTTTACTTTCCCCTTGTTAGCTTTTTGATAAATTATGAGAAGCTGAAGTGTCGTCTCGGGGAGATATACGAGAGCAAAATCCATCTGGAGGATGACTTGAGAATGCAGGTGGAGGACTACAGAGAGACGGACAGGAAGATTAACAGCTTGCGGCCTGACATCATCCAGCTACGCAACATCAGAGACCTGTACCTTAAGTAAGTGTACTGTCACAACATTGTTTGTGGTATCTGCGGAAAATATTTCTCTCGCCGTTCTGTAAAGTATAACTATTCTATATCAAGATTAAACCTTTTCTTTACGCTTCTCCTTACTAGCTGGCTTAATCACAAAGGCGTCAGGCAGAAACGCATAAACGACTGGCTGGGGATACTGAGTGACAGCCTGGATGAGTAAGTATGGAAAGAAACATTTCACAATAAAACCTTTAGCTTATAAATGAGAGACTTTTAACACAATTGTTACGGAGGTGTTACAACACAACTCTTTTCTTTTTTTTTTTTTTCCAGCACATATGTGTTGAAGGGAGACGAGAAGAATTTGCCACATCAGGATGAGACGAACTGGTTTGTTGGCGAGCTGAGCCGGACGCAGGCCGAGGAGATGCTTCAAGATAAGGCTCCTGGAACATTCCTGATCCGCGAGAGCAGCAAACAGGGATGCTATGCCTGCTCTGTTGTGTGAGTGTAATCATTTTGGAAATTCTGGACAACGGGTCGAATTTTGAGATTATTATGCATGGTGTAATTGTGCGACACTCACTGATGAGTTTTCTTTTCTTTATTTATTACAGTGTGAATGAAGAAGTGAAGCATTGTATGATCTACAGCACACCGCAGGGATACGGCTTTGCTGAGCCATACGACGCCCACTGCTCACTGAAAGACCTTGTCCTGCACTATCGCCTGCACTCCTTAGCGCAACACAATGACGCCCTGGATGTTCGGCTGTCCCATCCCGTGTACGCGAAAGCTGCAGCCACCACACCTTCTCAACACACAGATGAACGCAAACTCTTACAGACTCCGAAACACACGGCGGGGCTCCCGCCTGCCGCTCCAGAGATGTAATCCATCGGGAAAGAGACAAAAAAAAAGGACATGTTTACTGTATCCTGCGAGAATGACTGCATCGAATGTGCATCGTGTTACGTTTTGCACTACAGTGATTCCATCGTTTCTGTGAATGGGATTTCACAGATTGAAGTGGGAGTGGAACTTGAATGTCAGCTTGAACTTTTTTTATTTTTGTTTTCGAAGAGACTGTTTAAGCTTTTATTATTTTTTTATTTTTTTTTTTGTACTTCATTTATTGCCGATTGTTTAATGGACACCTTTTTCGGTGGGGAGGTTGACAACCAGAAAATTGCTCACTGACATCGGGTGCTGCACCTTTGTTAGACTTTGACTTTTACAACCAGAGTTGCTGGAGATGTCCATTTCTCTAGTTAAATTGTATTCAGTTCTGAAGATTTGACCAATAGTTTAGAAATATATTTGGAGTTATATTTGTGCCTCATTCTTGAGCATGTGATGGCACATTGTGAGCACAGAAAAAACACTTTTGGAACACATCATTTATATTTAGTAGATGAATTATTTATCATGGAAAGACAATTTTAATTTGAGCAAAAGAAAAAAAAATGTTTTTTTTTCTCCTCAATAAATGTATTGACCTATTTGCTAATATCCACGTAAGCACAGAATGAGAACCTCTTTAACATCTGCCCTCTCGATGTGTACATTTCATTAAATGTAATGGTTTTGTTGGGCAGAGGGTGCTACTCCTCATTTTGTAAGAATGCCATAATGTGGTTTATAGTAATTACTCAATTAAGTCAGCTAGCCATGTACATATTCAGGGCTCTACACACTGCTCTGGCAATCACAAAGGAAGCCAATTAGCTCAGCTAGCTACTTCTTATATGACAGACGTTAGCTAGCAACCGAGATAACTAGGCTGCAAGCTTATAAAGTAAACAGTAAATAACAAAGGTTCATAAAACCCGGTATGTCACCAAACCTGCTTAGACTGGAGCGGTTTATAATCCTGTTTATCTTCTGGTGCTTCCCTACTCTCCTAGTAACCGAAAATACTAACAATCACAAAATGACTTACTCCGGTTTTATGATTGACTGGCATTGTGGCATATTGTAACACGCCGAATCGGAAGTAAATCTACATCGTGGCCAAACGGGGGAATTACAATTTCCAGTTCTGTCACGTGATGCCATGGGGCCTAGAAAGATTGTTCCCCATAGACTTACAGTGGGAAAGAGATGTCTGTAACTTAGCTGACAATTTTTGTTTGACACTTGAATAGCTCTCATTTTAATCATTCGGTCCTAAACGTTGTAAAATAAGACCGACGGAAGATCCGGGTAATTTTATACCCCGAGGTCAAACTTTTTTTTTGCTTCATGCGCCACTGAGCAACTTTACCTAGGAATGAACTGAGCCTCCACCGCCGTACACAGTTGTCTTTACACATCCATGACGAGATGTTGAGAGGAAGAGAAACAGTGAACTAGTGTCGAGTCACACATTGAGAGTGGAAACGAGTAAAACTGTGGTGCAGGTGTGGATAACAGGCAACACTGTCAGAAGTGTGTGTGTTTTAGTTCACTCAAATTAAATAATTCTTTGCATGACACTCTAAAAAAAAATACAATTTTTGATTGTAAAATGTATTTTTCTGTGCTCCAAATGTCTCGTTGTGTTCTCATGAGTGAGAGATGCGTTACTACTACTTGGTGCATTTGTGCGGGGGGGGGGGGGGGGGGGGGCTGGGGATAAAGAGGGGCTTTTTTCCGTCATACTGGTTTGGTGGACCAAACCATTTTTTTGGGGGGGTAAATGCCACGTGTGAATATGTGAAAAGTCGTGGTGCATCTTGACAATTTGCCCCTTTTCTTAACAAGACATTCATATACAGTGGACAACTATGTAGCATTAACATCCTGTAGAATACCATTGTAAGAGCATACTCAATGTTATACACATTGACCAAAGCACTTAATAGTGAGCAAAACTACAGCCCTGTTAAGTCTGGTTATTGCAATTTGGGCAAGGGGAGGGCAATTAATGTACACCTGCTGATGTGCTGATCAAAACATAATCTGAAGTACTGTATGTTATATTCTGTTACTCAAAGAAGTATAACCTTTTTGTATTCTATATATATTTTTTCTATAAACATGCCACAAGATGAAAGCTTGAAGAAAGTGCAATCCAACAGTATTTCTACTGTTGCAGTGTGTGACGATGATGATGGTGGTGGTGAAGGTAATGCTGTTATGAGAGGTTGACATTTGCCACAAAAATGCACTCTCTTTGGTGGTGTCGGTATGATGTGGCCTCCGATGTTTGTGTGAACTGCCAGAGGTCCGGAAGTATCCTGCCTCCATTACTTGAACTGTGGCATTGCTCGAGCTATGAATGTTTTTTTTCATGACATGCAGCCTACATAGCTTAAGAGGAAAGGAATCCATGTTGAACTTGGCACATTTTTCAAGTTTGAGGACAATAGATACTCTGTACAGAGAAACTGTAAAATGTATTTCTGAGGTTGGTTTATGGAAAGGAGGGTGATTAAGCCTCTTATAAAAATATAACTCCACTGGGGGATTGAGGAAACTCCTCGGGTGAAGCTAAGCAATGTGAGATCCTGACCTTTTTCTTGCTGAAAGACAATAAACTGATGAGGGTTTTGTCAACTTACGTAATCGGTTGCTTTCTTTCACAGTTTATTGCTGAAAAAAAAAAAAACAGACACTGTGCATTGTGTCGGTTTTTTTCACTTACGGTATTTCTTTGACACGAGTAGAAATATCCAATACAAAGCATAGACTGACAAACTGAGATAAGTAGTTCAGTAAAATGCACCGTATGTCTCTAGTGGAGCCGTTTGTCGTCCTTTGAGCTTATCCTCGGGTCAGCAGAGATAGGAGGCAGCGAGGGCACCGGAGGACACTCTGTGGACAGATGGAAGAGAAAGGAAGCGATAAGACAATAGCAGGATATGTGCCGGCCCTTTCCCTACTCAGCCCGGGCCGCCGTTGAGTCACCAGAAAACAATTCATCAAACCTACTTCACGAGGAATTTGCCCCGTTGTTAAAGACGACTTTCCTGAAGCTCCTGTGAAAGGAATGCCGCTCATCCGTGTACATTTAGCACCAGCTAGCTTGAGTTTGGTTATTATTATGTTGATAAATGTTTTTATTGTTTCGTTTTTAATAACCATCTATAAAGATACACTTGTGTTTGTCACTGATGCTGACGAGTACCCTCAACCCCGGTGACACCACCACTGGTCCTCCGTGAGCAGAGCAACAGGTGGCTTCTTTCAACTATCACATGAAGTCTGTGTTAGGTAAGGATTAATGAGGTGCACAGGGCAGGGATGTTCTGGGGTAGAGCCTCAGTTCCAGGCCACGGATTACTCCCTCTTACCGGTGTGTCAGCACACAGAGAGAGCTGGTGGACAGGCATGCATTGCGTGCCCTGCTAGGATGGACCCACCAGATGCAGGGGGAGGCCGATAGAAAAGACAGAACAGACCATACCAACAGCTGAGTCACACTCAGGAGAGAGTGGGTAGAGAAAGTGTGTGGGGTAGACGGACAAGGGGAGGAGGAACAGGAAAGAGTGCATTTTTCTACCTCCTGTACAGGATGGTATGAAAAAAAAAATGAAGGCCGGAAAGGTGAAGTTATGCTGTTGCTGTATTTCCTTCGACCTGAAACTACCCCCCCCCCCCCCCCCGCTTTACCCCTAAGCTATTTGCTTTCACAGCACTTCAGCATCTTACTGCCCAGTCCCACTTTTCATTGGCTCCTTGAATCAAAGTTTATCTATGTAAAAGCCCCCACGTCTTTTTTCTTGCTCATACACATAGTACTTATCTTCCCTTTCTCTTCCCTTATCGGTACACCTCAGTCGCATAAATTCGCTCGTTTAAATTCATAGTCATTGTGCTTTACAGTTCTCAATTTAAATAAGTTCTGGCCGTGGGGGGGGGGGGCAGGTCGAATTACCTTTGGAGTCACGCCTAAAATACACACACACACACACACCATCAACTGTCTCACAGGCTCACGGAGGAAGAGGTTTTCGCTTTCAGTTTGGCAGCAGCCAATCGCGTCTCTCCTCCCCTCTGTCTCCGTCCGATTCCAGCGTTTTCACGCTACCTGACGAGCCAATGGGAGGCCGAGAACGTGCCGGTGTGACGACCAATCAGCGACCAGTTGCTATGTTGGAGGCAGAATCGATAAGAGGCATTTTTTTCCCCCTCTCTCTCTCTTTTTTTATTTTTTTACTAGCTCACATTATAGCTGGCTTATAGGCTGAAGGCAAGAGATCCTGTTGCCTGCCAAGCAGCATGTAGGCTACAGACTGAACCCTTAAACATACCAGCTCCACGCTTCCTTTGAAACCTCTCTAATACCACCACAAATAGACATAACAGTTTGTCTGTATATTGTTTATCTGTGTGTTTGAATGTATCTTATATGCAGTGAATGCATCTATAAATTAACTATTTTGGTTCACAGGTTGTTCACCCTTGTTGAGTTGTTGAGGTCATGGAAAAAGCTAGAAATTGCTTCCAGGCCTGGCTGGATTATGGGAAACTGATGCACAATCAAACAGTTTCACAAAGAAAATGATGTTGTGAAAGTTTGTACGTGAGCTTCTCTCTTCAGGTACTTTATTCCTCAATATCTTGGCTATCATTTAAAGAATAGCCCAAATAACAACATGTCTGGTTACTTGCAGTAAGCCCCCAATACAGGCTGAACAATACCTTGAAGGCTACAGTGAAGAGGCTGTTGTACATGTTCAACAAAATATTTAGGATAACATTTAGGCACACAGGGATTTTTAAGACATATGTCCTACCAGACGTCTCTTGCTTTACTGATCTGTGAACTCAAATAAAAACAAAAAAAGAAGAAAATGACACTAGATCATGGATCCTGAATCAAATCAGTTTAGAATGAATCATTATATGAATTGCAACTTTTACTTGTATTTCAAGTTGACTAAATTAGAAGTGAAATTGCATGGAATAACTTCACTAAAGAAACTTTAATGATAAAGAAGAATTCCCCGCTGTGGCGTCACTTACTAGTCACTGATGATTCATCTATTTGCAATGTCGGTGACCTCTGGTGACAGTGATTGAAGTCGGGCCTCAGATCACACTGAGATGAGAGGTGACACTGAGCAAGCTCTTATTAGGGGACAACTTAATGCTGCTTGCTGACAAACTACTCAGGGGGAAATGGCAATCCAGATCCATAACCACATCAGATTCACATATACCAGCTTAGACGGGGATGGAAGATGATCCCAGCTCCTTGAAACAGGTCGAGCAAGATACTCAACTCTAAAATTATAACCTTCCTTTTGGATAAATGCTCCACAGCTTGCATGGCACACATATTACATTGTACTTCTATTTCTCAAGGGAAAAAAATCCTCACTAATGATTTCAGCGTCCCGCAAGCTCTCAGGACAATCTCATTGTGGGAGTTCAGCTCTCAAATAGATTAAAAAGAACCAGCAGGCTCATGGCCAGAAAAACCAACGTTGCACCGGACCGACTGAATGCAGATGACTGAGGAGATTCAGAGTTCAAATCCAAAAATCCAGCTCGGTCTGAAAGCATAATGCTGTATGTACATTGTAGGAGGTGAACTCAATCAAGATAAAGTAGGAATTACGCAACTCACAAGTCCTGTCAGGTGATCGGAGAAGCTTTGTAGATGAGATAACTTTTGAAACTATAATGTATTTGTAATAAGAAGGATATTGTATGATCAACACAAAATAAAATACCCTCATCATACAACAGATATCTTTACATAATAAGTTATATGTAAAAACTCGTACAGAGCCCTTTTATTACTTGTTTTGCATTATTTGGTTTGATTTTAAATCAAGTACAAGTACCAAGTAAAGACTGAACTCTACCCTGTAAGAACCCTTTGGCTGTCAGCTTCCTCTCATGATGTTTTTCTTTTTTGGTGACTGCAACGTCTAGCCAGTAGACAGAGCCCTGATGAAAAAGTCAGACATACCCTGCACTTAAAACAGAATGGTAATTATGGTGAACGCTTTCCATAGGATGACCCTCACACTATTTACTTTTTCTCCCACTACATGGGAGATTTGGGAGCAAGGCAAACACTCTGCCTCCCATCACCACAATGGAGAGACATGGTGATTGGTGAAAATGATGACAAGTAAAAACATTGCCAATAGGAGAAAAAATAAATAAATGAGAGACTAGAGCCATTCCTAAAAGAAATAAAAGCATAATGACACCCTGTAACAGAATCCCCTTCACAAAAATAAGGCTATGTCACCACATACAAATTCAATTTAGCACGTATTTATTAAAACCTGTTTTACAGGAAACACCTGCCCAGGCAGCATAAAGAACAAAAGGAAAAGAAACACATTCATATAACAAATGAAACACATAAAGCCTTAACACGAGGGATAACACACGGGAACTCTGCAATTAAATTAATTTAAAGGACTTTATGAATCTCTCGTAATGAAGTCAGTCAAACAACGACAAATGCCTCTCAACTAACCACATTCTGATGGACATATTATCACGCTGGACTTGTAGAGAACATGCGTGTCCCTCACTAACATGCATCATCTGTTGATTGAAGGGAGTCTGTTGTCAAACTTATGAGAAATGAATGAGGCTTTTGAATTACACACCGGCACTGATCACAAATATGCAACGTGAGTAACGCTACTCGGGCTTGGGTGGAAAGTGACAGTGCTCGAGCTCGAGCCACCATTGACAAAAACAAAGGATGAAGGTTACATCCTTCCAAGTTTTTATATTTTTGGGCTCCTATGATAAACATGTTGCCAAGTTAAGATTGTTTTGTTCAGCATTTAAATGGGGTAATTTAACAAAAGGTATCACATTACAGGTTAAAACATTACAACGGTTCAAGTTTGCTCATGGAAAGATCAATGCTGAAAGTATATCATGAAAAATAGTAGTATTATAATGCATATATGATATATGTGAAGTATTTATTCATTTGAGTAAAGTTAGGCTGTCATCACAGATTTATTTTGGCGAACAAATGATGCTACATAGTTAGTATTTTTTCAAAAGGGCGAGCTTTGCTTTATATTAGTTTACTCAGAGTCCATTACAGCTGTATCCAATAAGCTAATTGTTCAGCTGAGAAAATGGAAATGATGGATGTCCTTTAGGGAAACAGAACACGCTGGAAATATAATAACAATACAGGGCAGACCAAACCAAACGTGTAGTACAAAGGGTTGCCAGGTTGGCACACATCTACCTTTGAGTTTTAATTGGCCAATGTTGGTGCCACCTCATATTCTCTCGTACATTACTGGCTGTTAGTTTCTGGGTGACACATTGAAACAGCAGGAAATACAAGGCAAGTGACAGTTAAAATACTTTTTTCCTGCAGCCTAACTGTCACAGGCGTTTTTTCTAATTGGCCCAGGCAATGCTAAAGTTGTGTAAGTGATAACAGGTTTCCAACCTAATATTTACATCAATTTGATGTCAAGCTACTGATGTAAACAAACCAGACTGCTCATTGCCTGTTGTCTAAAACGTAGTGTTCAGTGGAAGAGGTTACAGCCAATACAGTGGAAGATGGCTGCATTTAAAATGACCCTGCTGCTATAGGCCGACATGCTGAGAATAATATGATAATTTAACTACATGGTAGGTTTCTGTGGGTTGTTGTCAAGGACTTTCCATTTGTTTAACTTCTTGTTCAAAGGCAACACTGCCACCTGGTGTTGTGTGTTATAACAAACTCCAAACTGAGAATAATTGCGTAAACTGACGGGGAAAAAAATTAAAACTTAAACTAAATGAGCCATACCGTCGTGTAATCTAAAGTTCCGTCTCCCAGGACTGTCAATAAAATACAACAAATGATGCAGATACATTAAAATGCAACATTCTCGAGGATTGATTAGTTATGACTGGACTGGAGATGCCAGAAAAGAGCAGTCGATCCAGTGTTGACAGTCCGGAGGGCGACATCCTCAGTAAACTTATGGGTAAGTCGCAGCTAAAATCAAGCTGATTTTCGACATTTTTTTTTTCCAACATAAATCCGTAATACTCTTTAAGTTGACACTGTCGGAGAAGGGATTAATCGAGCTGTGAATGCGTCTCATTGCAGTTCATTTGATTGATGAACATGGTTGAATCCACCCTGGTATGCCTGTTGGCTAGCATGTCTGGCTAACTGCGGTAGTGGGTGTTTCTTTTTATAAGCAATATATCAACAGGGTGACGGACAGTGACTTTGACTTCAACCATGAGACAGTCAAGAAAGTTTATGGCTTATTATATTGCCGATATTTCCAGGCGTGTCACTGACTCCGGGTTGTTTTGTCGTTGGTGCATCAGTTCGTGTGTCTTTCAGGTCTGTTTCATGCTGAGACTCACTGAAGAGGTGGGCCTCCATGTTTAACACAGACCGACCCCAGCTGCCATGTCCTCCACCTCTATGGCAACATCCACTGGCTGTGTTGGTGGTGATACCCAGGCGGCGTCCGAGCAGGCTCTGCTGGCCTCAGACCGCTACGCCAGACTCATCCTGGCCCAGATGAACAAGATGCGGCTCCGCACCGACTTCTGTGACGTGGGGCTGAGGGTCGGCAGCCGGGTCTTCCGGGTCCACAGGCTGGTGCTTGCTGCCAGCAGCCCGTACTTCTCCGCCCTCTTCTCCGGGGGGATGAGGGAGGCGGATAAGGAGGAGGTGCAGATCCTCGGAGTGGAGACTGAAGTCTTCGAGGTTTTGCTGGACTTCATATACACAGGTGCGCGTCCATCCTGATGTTCCCCGTCATCACCTTCCACAACATCTGTGTAATTTTGTACCATTTTTGCTGAGTGGCTGTGTGTACCCTCTCCTATCAGGCGTGATCAGTGTGACAGTGGAGAACGTCCAGGAGATGATGGTGGCAGCAGACATGCTGCAGTTGAACGAGGTGGTGTCGATCTGCGGAGAGTTCCTCAAGGGCCACATGGACCCGTCCAACTGTGTGGGCATCTTTCAGTTCCTGGAGCAGATCGCCTGCATGGACATGTTGGAGTTTACTGAGAACTACATCCATGTTCACTTTCTGGAGGTATGAAACAACAAGAGGCACTGTATGTTATATTATCTCTCTGACAATACTCACCTTATAGGGTATGTGTGTGTGTGTTGCTGTCAAACTCTGTTCCAGATTTAGTTTGGTGCTAACAGATCGCCTCTATTAACTGCTTTAGGTGTGTGTCACCGATGAGTTCAGGGGCTTGTTGAAGGATCAACTGGTGAGGCTGCTGAGAAGTGAGGAGCTGAGAATTGAGGACGAGTACCAGGTATTCACTGCAGCCATGGACTGGGTTCTCCAAGATGTGGCAAAAAGGAAAAAACATGTAGTGGAGGTGTTGGAACCCGTCCGCTTCCCTCTGCTGTCTCCACAGAGGCTGTTCAAGTACATAGAGGGTGAGGGACACATAATATTTCACACATCCCTTTTATATTTGATATTCTTTTTGATTTCTACTCACAATAATTGCTATACAATTGAGTAGGTCACGCATGGTAAACAACATCTTGAAATGTTTGACATTTTGACTATTTTTAAAGGTATTACGGACTTTAGCCTGCGGGTGGCGCTGCAGACTCTGCTGAAGGAATACACTGAAGTCACAAAGTCTCCCAAAGAAAATAAGATGTACAGTCAGCTGCAACCAGCCAAGATGAGACCCAGGAGAAAAGCCAGGAAATACCTCTATGCCATAGGTTATTTTCAAATCTTGTATCAACATAGAAGAGTAACCAGATGCATTTTGGGGAATAAAGACTGTATCTCAGTTGTTCCAAATAAGAAATGCCATTTAATCTTGGACTTTTACTTCCTGGTGGCAGGAGGCTACACTCGGCTGCAGGGCGGCCGATGGAGTGACAGCCGGGCATTGAGTTGTGTGGAGCGCTTCGACACCTTTAACCAGTACTGGACCACCGTGTCGTCCCTGCACCAGGCCCGCAGCGGGTTGGGGGTCGCCGTACTGGAGGGCATGATCTACGTGGTGGGAGGTGAGGGAGAGCTGAGGCCGTCTTTGTGTTTGTGGTCAAGCCCAAAAATAAAATAACCTCAACAAGGAATCATTTTTTTTCTCTCACCAGGGGAGAAAGACTCGATGATTTTTGACTGCACTGAGAGATACGACCCAGTGACCAAGCAGTGGGCTGCTGTGGCGTCTCTGAACTTTCCGCGCTGTGGAGTTGGAGTCTGCCCCTGCCATGGAGCTCTGTATGCACTCGGTAAATGCCACAGTGTCACCATTTTCAACCAAAATACAAGAAGTTTTTAAGGGCGCAAACCATCGATTTTTAAACGTGATGCTCAGTTTGCTAGTCATGGTTAGTGCTACTCAGAAACAGTTGCATAATGTCTTCTGTGGCTCTGAAGAGTCTGAATCAATTTCTCAACCTTGACAAAAGCTCTTCAGGAGTTGGAGCACTTGAGTCAATACTGGAGTGAAAGTGACAGATACCTGGTGGGAAAGGTTTAATGAAATCTGCTATTGAGTTGCATTAAGTGAAATGTAGGATCTAGTGTTTATAATAATAAGTAGACGTGTTATGCTTGTAGATTGTGAAAGAAGAAAACAAAGACTGGGTCATAGAATCTCATCAATATCAGACCAAAACAACATGGAAATACAAGCATTAAAATACCACAAATTACATTGTGAAATGATAAAATTGCAAATAGTAAGTGCAATTCAACCAATAACCAGCATCTTGGCACACGTCAGACAAAAAGCATAAGCTGATGATTGCACTGTGCCTCTGTAGGAGGATGGATTGGCTCTGAGATTGGGAAGACCATGGAGCGATACGACCCAGAGGACAACAAGTGGGAGGTCATCGGCAGCATGGCTGTTCCTCGGTACTATTTTGGCTGCTGTGAGCTACAAGGTGTGTTCCTCCCGGTTTGTTGAAGTGAAGTGCTTTTCTCAGTGTTGCCGCTGAACTCCCCTTCCCACTTCGGTTTACTACAGTGTATTTCTTTACTTCTCTGATGACTTATCCTACTCTCAGTGAAGCGGCTCTAAACTAAACACTGTTGTCTCTCTCTCTCAGGGTTTGTTTACGTGATTGGAGGAATCAGTGATGAAGGAATGGAGCTGCGTTCAGCCGAGGTGTATGACCCGATCTCCCGCCGATGGAGCGCTCTGCCCGTCATGGTCACGCGTCGAGCCTATGTGGGCGTCGCCTGCCTCAATAACTGCATCTACGCAGTGGGTGGCTGGAACGAGGCCCTCGGTGCACTGGAGACAGTGGAGAAGTACTGTCCAGAAGAGGTGAAGTGGGACCATTTCATATTTCTGTAATATCTGTGTCCCCAACAGTGTCCTCACCGCTGTAACTGGTCTTTCTACAGGAGAAATGGGTGGAGGTGGCTCCAATGTCTACTGCCCGTGCAGGCGTGTCAGTGTCGGCTGTTAACGGGCTGCTGTACGCCGTCGGCGGCAGGGCCGCCAGCAGAGACTTCTCCGCCCCGGTGACTGTGGACTCGGTGGAGATCTATGACCCTCATCTGGATACCTGGACGGAAGTTGGCAACATGATCACCAGCCGCTGTGACGGCGGGCTTGCTGTGCTCTGATAGCCAGGAATATTCAACTTGTGGACATCCATATCAGCACTTGAATCATCCCAAAACTGCATTGACTGAAAAAAAAAAAGCTGTACCTTAAGAAGCACAAAATTGTGTTTCTGTCTCGTGTAGGCTTTCGCGTGATCATAGATGTTATTTATACATGGATTGGACATGTTTTTCCTTTTTTATTTCTCCAGAACGTTTGACATTCATTGAACATATGACAGCAGATCTGAAACTGGAAAAACTGCCAAAACTACTTCCACCGATAAAATGACTCGTCTGGGTCTCTATTTTCAATCCACTAAATACTTTTACAGGAATATCAGTGGAAACAAACTTGTATTTGAAGACAAAGCGATCGTTGCGATAAGGATATTTTTCATAGCAGAGGAGTTCTATTTTAGATGGAGTTCTGCTCCTTTGGGAACAGTTCTTGGATAACATGTGAAAGCACTGTTTGTTTTGTTGATTTTTCTCTTTATTTTTTCTTCAAGAAACGTTTGAGGTGATGAGTGCGTTGCTACTTGAGCCGACTGAATAATGGAACCAAAGCTCCAGGGGAAGTGGTTCCTGTAAACAATTATAAACTTGAACAGCACACCAGAGCAGTTATTCCACTGGGTTATTTTTGTATATATATGATACTGTATATAATAGTGCCTCCTCTTAATCACTATTTACACTCAAGGGTGTTTGGTCATTTCACTCCTGACATTACTAAAATTTAGATTTCAACTTTCTGATGTTGAGATAAGCAACATCATTATAAGACAATGTCCAAACCGGTATGTAGAAATATTTGTACCTTTCTTATGGTAAGTTATCTCATCATGTTTCCTCTTTGGGTGTTGGGAGTTCATCACATTTGCAAGCTGACTGAAGTTGTTGCACAGTAACAGTACTTCCAATCCATAGTAATAGCTTTTATTGATTGCTTTTCAAACTCGATAAAAGAATAATGTTCTTGCTGGGTTTAAACTTCACCTACGTTACCTCTCTCCTTATTTAGGATAGTTTAAATTTTAAAAACTTAAAGCTGTAATATCACATTGATTTTGCACATACAAGTCAAACACATCTGAGTCGACTATACGTTTGCAAGAGATTTTCTGCACAAACAAGAAAATATTGGACCGCTTACCTCCAGCTCTGCCACTAAACTCAGCACTCGTGATTTACACGGAACATTTACGTTGAACGTCAATCTCCAGTAAAACTCAGCGAGATATATTTTGACCTTAAAGGTTGTGATGTGTGAAAATGTATCTCCTTTATGTGACTAATTTAAATTCTGGTGTCTGAGTCGTATATTGTAAAGTGAAAGAGATCGGTGAGGGTGTTTTTGAACCGTTAACATTAATAACAGAACTATACTGACTTATCGGTTTGGAGTTGGAAAAGAAAGGTATGCAAATAGTCCAATGTTTATTGTCCCCAATTTGCTCATTATAAATTGCCATAATCAAACACATTTCAATAAGGGTACTTTGTGTCTGGTGTTTTCACAGCAAAGAATGATTTTACAAATGTTTTCTGATAAATGTTTTATTAATTTCAAAGTCTCTCTTGTTTGACATTTTTATTTTTTAAACTCGCTGGAAATTTCTGTGCCTATTTTGCAACTGTTCTTAATCATTTTCTAAATGATACGCTACAGCTATACATGTCACATTTAGATATTAAATGTATTATAGGTAACAAAATGACTACTGTGCTTTGGTGTACTGTATGAACCCACCTGACTGTCTGCACATCTGCATCTAATTTCATATTTCTATTGAGTCCAAATGGCTCAAAATACAAACTGTCCTCTTAAATTAGTTCTGAATCTCTTTGATCTTCTTCTCAGTGCAGAAGTTTTTAATTGTCAGTGTAGCCACCAGTGAGAAGGTGGCGACCAGAGTGAGAATAGTCCGCATGGCTTTGAACCAGGAAGGGTAGCCTGGCAGCAGGGTCAGGTCATAGTGCAGAGAGAGACCCAGTCCCATAATAACTACCAGGGCTCCCTCTGCAATGTTGTCCCTGCAGAGCAGTGCCAGCCAGGCCAGAATGGAAGGCACCACACTGTTGCCCAAGTTCATCCAGTCAGGCTGAGCAGGACTACCAGCAGGGAGGGCAAACCCCCAGCGGGCACCTCCCAGGAAGGAGACTATAGAGGCTCCATAGACAACTTGAGCATATGCCAGTTCAGGGTAGAAGGAGTGTGTGGCAGCCATCAGGAGAGGGACAGACAGGAAAGGGATGAGCCCCGAGAGACCGAGGTAAAGAGCTGGTTTGGGAGCCTGGGCGAGGGCCCTCAAACTGAAACCCTCTTTGCGGTCGCCTTTCTCCGAGGTGCCTTGTGAATCCCTGTGGCATAGACGTGAGACCGGCCAGCTCACAGGCCTGATGCTCAACAACCCGTTGGTGGGAGTTAGTCTGGGTGGCATTGACCCCGAGGAGGCTCTGGAGTGAAACGGCTGCTGAGCTTTTGTTGTCATGTTTGGTGCTCTGGTTGTCTGCTGAAGACATCTCCATACTGGAACCTGAGAATATAATAATCATAGAGGTGCATAAACATCATGAGTGGGCAGAATCAAAGGTTTGGACCCAGGCAATACACATCATGACTTCTTCTTATAATGCTGGCACACATAGTACCTCTATATTAATGAGAAAGAAGCAAGCTGTATTGATCAACAGTCAAAGTATCTTTCTCACCCCAGAAATGATGCGTCTTCCAGATGCAAATCTAATCATCCTCTATCTGAAAAAGAGACGTTATTAATTAGTAATCAAACACTCTGCATAGCACAAACACACTGAAGTTATATTTATGATATAACAACCGCGGGCTAACGGTGGTGCCATTAACAGCTAGCATGCATAATCTCAACCTGATGCAACACAGAGCTATCCGACTGTAACAACCAATAAAACACAGCTGTTGCAATTACCTAAACCTTACCCTTTAGTTATTTGTCATCCAATGGTGTGCCACAGCCACTGCAGGCACAATTGCATGGAGTTAGTAGGTACTAAATTAATGTTAACTAGCTAAACTAAAGGTCGTTTGCAGGCTACCATTCTATCGGTGCTCGACTAAATGCCTGTCTCCTACTGAATAAGGCCGATGCTGGTTGGGCTGTCGGTGGCGGGGGAGGTATTAAGTTATATTCAAGATGGCAAAATCCCCATGTCCGTGGTACCAACACCATGTTCTACAATATATATTATTATAAAATATTTAAAAAAAACATCGTGTGATAATTTCACATGTGGACACGTTGTTTTATTTAAATATAAAATGATTTACAGACGCCAACTCGTAAGCCTGTTCGACTTTAAAAACACTGCGAAACGTGGTTGAGTTGCATAATCGCGACAGATCTTGAACGTAGCATCACTGAGGTTGTTCGAGTCCCACAGTGCCAGTGCCAGCGCCAGTGGTAAGCCCTCCGAAAATCCAAACAAACATCAATAGCCTATTAGTAAAGAAGTGTATAGTTGTGAAACGGTGAAGTCTGGTTAATGAATTCAGATTATATATATATATATATACTCGAACCACTCTCTATCGGAGGCCATGCTGCTCAGGAGAAGGTACACGGTATCGTCATGAAACACTGCAAGTTAGCTCGCTAGCACTTAGCAAGCTGATAAATGTGTGCTGCCGCTGCTAAGGTAGCCATTTTGAAACTGTGTTGTTCTAACGAAGCCAGGTCTGTTTACCTCTAATGTATGTACGTGACAGCTGCTCAAATAGACAGTTTCAGCCACCGTGAGCACAGTGAGTGCGTTGTTACGGTGCTAAGCATTCGAACCGTATTGATTTATTTCAACTACCTAGCCGTTTACGCTGGCTGGCGTTACTTAATAGGCTGGGTAACGCTATATATTAGCTAACAAATGCTATGCTAACGTTAACCTTAGCTAACTAAGCAGAGTTAGCCAGCAGCAGAGTTGGGACAGATCTGATAACGTTACTAGTGACCGATTAACGTTGACTGTTTAACACCACGACCGTGTTGCGTGGTAATTTATTTATATGCAGTTTATCGTATAGCATCGCTCAGCTAACGGTAGCTAGCTTGGTGAAACGTGCATGTAACGCTGCTGTGTGTTGGGTTGATCTGCTGCAGTGTATGTGGACCAATTGGTGGAATAATGTCAAACTGGGTACTTTGCAAGAATAGTGCGTTGCTGTCATTCACCTGAGAAGTGTTTTTACAGTGAATTAATGTTAAATGTCTGTGCGCGGGTCCGTAATTGATGTTGAGCGGTTATGTCAGTGGGAACACGTTAACGGGGTAGCTCTGAGTTTGTGCACGCGGGGATTCATTTTTTTGGGTGTTTTATTTAAGTTGTGTAGTGGTTGAACGTGTCGTAAGGTTGAATATCTGTTGAGATTGTAAACTTCACTTTCATCCAGCATTGGCCTGTGTGGATGCGCAGCAGTCTGGGAGAAGTACAGATGAAGTTATTTTTACACCGTTATAAATAATTCATTTACCAAAGCGGACGCATTTTTATAAAAGATTCAGCATAACATGGTTCATAGTTAACGGAGTCATATTTTTTCGTGTCTAAAAGCAGTTTATTTTAAGTCATTGGTTGCATCTTGAATGGGGAACTATTTCGGGGTTTAACGTCTGACAGATATTGTCAGTGCTACAGGTATAAATATATAAATGGAGGTTTAAGCTTAAATTCTCTGGAAGTCTAATACAACAGCCCTGCAATTCATCTGTTACATTATGTTGCATGCATTATTCTGGAGGTGTTTTATGCTATATTTGTCACACCTTTTTATAACATTATGGCTTAACTAAATATTAGAAACGTATCACAATACAAACAGCCTCACTAACGCACCTCCAAAAAAAGCATACAGCCGAATCATTACAACTTTCTCGAAGGTCAGGTTTTATTTATTTATTCTTTGCAAATTGGCACTGTAAGTATTTGTGTATTTCTGAACCTGTAGCTTTTCTTAACTCAGGCTGTTCTTTATTTGCAGGTCCGGTGTGTTCCTGTGCAAATACCAGTGAACCCTCAGCAAGAACACTGAAAACTGCACCGCTGTAACTTCATGTGTGACGAAAAAAACTCATTGAAGAAGGGAAGACTCATTTGACTGTCTCTGATTTTTCAAAACGGGGGGGGAAAAAAGAAGTGGATTGAGCTATCTTGAGGATTTATTTTTGAACGCGTTTGATTTTTTTGCTGAAGAACTCTTGTTCATCATTTGACACGGAGACCTTTGGACTTGTGGAATATTTTTGTGAAGCTTTGGAGCTTGCATATCTATGAAATCAGAGCTATACCCTTTATCTGCTTCAATCCGAAAACAGCACATAATTAAATGGGCGTCTTACAAATGTGATATTAAAACATATAAAGATAAAATCAGCATTATAATGCATCATCCAGCAGCATCTCTATTTCACTAACCCAAACTAAAAATGACGGCAATGTAACATCGGGTTTTACTTCCTTCATTGTCATGTGACTTTGAACCTTTGGAACATTGTTTTTTTCAAACTCGGACTGTCTTTTTCATCAGTTTAATGAGGTGAGCAGTGGTTCTCAGTGACCTCCATTGCCAATAAAAGACTGTCTATTAGCTCACTTTTTTTCTTTTCTGCATGTGTTCCGGTCGATCCTAAAATGATTCGTTAAAGGTGAGTCGACGTGAAGACGTACTGGCACGCAGTGTGGCAGGATAACACCCGTCTGCTTCCTTTCATCTGGTGTCGGATTGGAACTGCTACAAAATCTGCTGTCCTTGTTGCAGGGCGACCGACTTTCACAGATTGCTTCCTTATATTAATTATAACACAACCTGGTTCTTCCTCACCGGTGGGACACATCACCTGTCAAACCATTTCAGCATAAAATCCAATCAGGTTTTGAGTCTTACTCCAGACAATAAGAGATAATGACGGATTAGTTTCGCTTTGGGGGGAAAAAACAACCTGGACTGTAAACGGCAGCACACAGACGTGACCTCCACAGGAGCCGTTTGGGAATCCGGTTCCAGTAGGAGAGTCGGTCCTTCATAGACCTCCTTCAAAAATCTACTTCTCGCCCCGGCAAGTTTTCTGGATCGCCATTCCAGAGCATTCCTGCAACCTTGTCGACCGATCTCTGTGTTTCATCCTGGACGGAGGGATCTGCCTCTGGGGAAAGGGGCTGTGCTGTCCTGGAGGAGGTGGAGAGCGGGTCGTCTGTGTGCTGCTCTCTGTGATCGGTGCCAACGGGCCTGAGGAACCGAGCCCAGCCGGACCGAGAGAGGAGGCAGAGGACTTCAGAGCCACAGACTCTGGGGTAACGATACAGCTTCACCCGACTGCCGTGGCTGCTGCACACATGCATGTACTCAATAGATGTGGGACTAATTGCGGTAGTGTGGTCCTAAACAAGTAATTTGTCAAAATTTTGTGGGTAGCAGGTGTTCATATTTCACCTTGTATGGAAACAGTTAAAGGAAAATGAAGAAGCATGAAGAGCTAATACATTTTTATCACATACACATGTTGTAGAATATAACTTGTATTTTTCCATCCAGGCTGTCAACCAGTTATCAGCTTCAGCAAGTCGAGCTTTGTTTCCTGCTAAGAATAGTCCTCTGAGTCTTTTAATGCTCACTGAGTTTCTAAAGAACTGCTGGTAGAAAAAACACTTGAAAGAAATTCCATGAAATCAAAGCTGGATGGGTCGGAAAAGGGAATTTAATTCATGTTTCTGGGCTTGAATTAGCTGTGTGTGAGTTTTAAAGATGTCCTCTTCTTCTGTTAGATCCTGGCCATGAGGTTTGATGCCTCGATCCACTGACCGGAAACACTGGACCTAAATGGCGCAGCATGACTTTGTCCCTGCCTGGCTTAACTTCTCCACTCCCCAGCCTGCCAAGGTGTGTGTGTGTGTGTGTCAGTTTATTACAGGAAAAAATGGAGGCTTGAAATGATACCTGTCGGTGTCACTGCTCGAACACCGGATGCATTTCTGTACACCCGAGTGTGTTTGTGTGAAGTCAGCGCACAGTTCAGCAGAGGTTCACCTAGACGGAGTGTACCTCCATGAAAAAGACTGATGACGGAAGAAAAGAAACTATTTTAATAACACAAACGGAAACCCCGGGGTGCGGGTTAGGATTTTCATGGAAGGTTTTTGTGATATTTATTTTTTCTTTTTTTTTTTTTCTTTAACTAAATCTGCAGTTGCTTTTCTAAAAAGCGAAACTTTGAGGGAATTGCAGATAAATTAAAGATTGTATGAAATTGCTGGGATTCAATGAAGGATAACTAATTACCTAACTTTAGGTGTTCAGTTTGGAGATGGTGCTATATTAAATTCATATCTTGATATGGTGCTACGGTGTCTGGCTATCCTAATATGACTGTTTATATGCTGCCTTGCTTAAAGCTGCAGTCGAGTGATGCAGTTTCTTCAAACTACCTAATTGCTGCAGCTGAGTGAAATGGAGAACAAATACTCAACCTGTCATATCCACATTATAACTTATTTATCTTTCTATCATTCTGATGCGACTAAATGGCAATTTTCTTGCCACCCCTTTATGTTTTTGGCAGAGGATTTGACTTGCCTTATTAATAATAAAGTAGTAAGTGACTGGCACAGCTGGCCACTCTAACATCACTTTTTAAGGTAAACACTGAAGCTGTCTGACAGTCTTAACAGTTGGAGCAAGTTGAGTCAGTAAAAAAAACACTGCAATCACGATGGTGAGGCATCATCGCTGTTACAACATTGAACCAAAGGCTGTGTTTAATTATCATTATGAAATGTTTGAGCTAACTGAGATTTATTGGAGACAGACGGCTCAACCTACTTATCGTGTTGTCCATTCAGCAGATGTTTGGTAGCGGACGAGGAGGCTGGCTGTGTGGCATTTTGTGAGCGAGCCAAGTTTTATTTTCCTCATGTTTTAGGATGTTTAACCAAATATGATGAGCACTGATTAGAGATTGCCTCTTGTGAGTAAAATTGTTGGAGAGAAAATGCAGATGAAGATGGGTGAATGTTGTTGGTGAACGATTGTATTGATTTGTGTTTTAAACTGTAGATCAGGAAGTTGCTCAGTTAAGAGGCCCGTCTGTGAATCCGAGAGACAAGATGGAGAAACGAGTGCACAGTCGCTGTCCTGCTGACGGATGACTTCATCTCAATGTCATTTGTCTTCAGAGATTAATTTACGTGCACATGCGAGAGTTCATTCTCCTCCGTTGTTGTTGCATCGTATTTCTGTATGTTGTCTGTGGAAGTTATAAAAACATCCATGAGATGACGCCTGCAGAGAGAGGCTGAAGGACGCAGTCTAATTTAATCTTTGAACCTCCGCTTATGTCAAGGATATGATTCAGATGGAGCTGAGCGTTTGCCGACATTATTATGAAACACAGCTGTGTCAGTGACTTCAGCATCTCTTCCACAGCGGCACATCTCTCATGATGAAGCATTCCAAGATTGTTTTCAGTTCCTATGATGTGTCGCTCACTAAGAATAGATCCTCACAGTGATGGTTTCACTCTGAGGTATTTAAGGTCTCCGAGGTAGAAGGAGAGGAACTCAAAGTATGGAGAGGACTTCTGCTAGTCTATGTTTCTTCACAAGAGGATGATGTAGAGAAAAGTCCTGAAATACAGTTTAAGGATAATGGCCGTTTCTGTAGTTTTGTGCGATTCATTGTCCACCGTCTCGGTGCCACTTTGACTGACCATGTCCCCTCTCTGTCCTCCTTCAGTCCCCTGCTGCCAACCTTGACAAACAAGGTGAGCCCCACCACCACAGAGACGGCAGAAACTCTGTGAGCCGCCGACGCCACAACTCCTCCGATGGCTTCTTTAACAACGGCTCCCTGCGCGCTCCAGCAGGTAACCATTCAGAGCAGTTACCCTCTTTGTTTGTTAACCCGGTTACTGTTGCTGCAGAAACCGTGAGTATATGAGCAAAAACCGTGATGAGTTTAGTAAGGGAATGCTCTACGATGCAGTGCTGCTGCACCACAGTGTTCATATCAATCGTATGTTAAAGGCTTTGTTGGGAAATGTGTAATGTCACCAAACTATATGGACTAATAAGAAGGAAATCCGCGCAAGTTGTCCTGTCCTACAAGCGCAAGAAAAACCAACAGATGAGGGGAATGTCAATCAAGTGCAGTTTGTACATATCAACACAGTCCTGAGGGGTCTAATCAGACACATGAGTGGAAACACCTGTGTGCGTGGTGTAGGGCCTTTACGTGTATCTTGAACGTGGGGTGTTTACTGGATTAATTTACACTGAACTACATGTAGTGTCTCTGTTGACCAGATTACAAATCTAATTACAATCTGTCTTGGGTTTCCACTCTACATGCAAATCAGGGCCAGTCTCCACCTGTCGAGGTGGTGGTTTGGCACCTGGGGCTGTTCAGTAACTGCCAAAAACACCAGAAGAACGACTTCTGCACTTCTGTTACAGCAGTAATATTTTAGCTAGCGTTGGCTAACAACAAACCCATGAATGAATCGTAGTTATGAACTAGATAGACACTTTATCATGGGGGCTAACCCGCTCCATCACCCACACAGATCATTCAGTGGTTGAACTACTTCATGCACCTTGTTTTTGATCGTCTGTGGAGAAATCGCTGGAGCTGTTTTTCGTTGTTGCTTCATTGAGCCAGAGAAAAAACAGGTTATTTCAGTCTAACTTTAGCTGCAGTTCTCACAAGCACGGAGGGAGAGAGGCGGATGGGTTTGCACCTTTTCAGCATCTGGCTGGAACGTGTCTCAAACCACCACCTGAGCTGGTTGATTATAAAGACGGATACTAAAGTTGAGCACTTTGTTTGTCAAAGCTGGTCATAGTTATGGGTTAATAACAGAATTGTTTGAATGGTCTCTACTTTATTGAGCTTTCAGGATGGAAATAATGCCGGTTATGTTTCAAACATTAAATCAGTTTTGCCAAGTAATAATAGAATAATTCTGCTGGAACTTATAGATGACTTCTACTTGAAGAGGACATGATTGAGGTCTCCTGCTCAGAAGACGTTACAGCAGTGTTGCAAGCAGCAGACAGGTGGCGTTGGAGTCCTTTCCCTCGTTGACGCTTCCTTTTACATGACTCATGTCTCCTCCTGTATACACTCATTCAAACCAACTTTTCTCTCTAGATTATGGACATTATTTGCTTTCATATCGGTGTCCGTACGCTGCACGTAGACGTCATTGCTCTGCTGATGTGTGGGCATAAGAATCGTTGTGATGTTTTTAAAATGGCAGTTTATTCTTTCTCATCTCATCCTGCTGCTCGATGCTGAAGATCCAACAAGCTGCTCTGTGGTTTGGTGAAATCTCATGTTTCCATTTAATTATGTTCGGTCTCAGTTGTGCTGCGTCGTGGATCTGGATGAATGGTTTTGTGGTGATCAGTTGTACAACCAGGATGCTTTCAGGCTCGGTGGCAAAGTTCGATCCTGTGTCCAAGCAGTAGTCAGTTAATCAATTAAGCTTCCTGTTAAACGGGTTCTTCCTCCATTTGTCCTGCAGTCTCAGGGGCCCCTCACTTCACCTTACCTTTGCTGTAGGCGCTCTTGGTCCTTCGGTTAAGTTTGTTGTTTCTGTTCAGATGTTATTTCAGGAAGCTGTATCTGTGAATACATCCCTGGTATTCAGCGCTTACTCCAGCATGACGACACTATTCTTATACACGCTGTATATCTGCTCTCTCTCTCTCTCTCTCTCTCTCTCTCTCTCGAGGTGACGGATGGCAGCAGCCCTCTCTGCTTCTGAGGCATGACTCGGTGGACTCGGGGGTGGCCAAAGGAGGGCACGGCGGGCTGGCGGGGGGCTCCTGTTGGAAGGAAACACCCAGCTGGCACGGAGCGCCGCGGGGTGCCCAGGACGGCCACCACCACCACCAGGGACGCCACCCCAAGCGGGTAGGAGTCGACAGGGACAGGCAGGTGGGGCACCGGCAGCGCAACGGCAACTTTCATCCCCGCAAGGGCCCCTCGTATCAGGACAAGTTCCCCAACGAGGAACGCAAAGACAGCAAGGACGACAAGCTGAAGTTTGTGGAAGAGGACTTTGTGAGTAGCTGACCTTAACATAGATCCTTAGATAATCAAAACTATTGTTAGAAACACTTTCATTCTCTCCCCACATCCACCGCGTGATACAAAATGTAGTTTATTACATCACAAGAGTTTCCCTTCACTGATCCATCCGACTTAATCCTGTGAGCAACAACATGCTCAGACTTTTGGATGTTGACTTAACTTGAATATACAACATTTTAAATGCTACGGTATTTAATGCAGGCGTTTGTCCTTTTAGCCTTCCCTCAACCCTGAAACAACTGGAAAGCCTGGGACTCCTATGCGAGCAGTGGCTCCCCATGCTGGAGTGTGGGGTAAGAGCCCAGAGACTGTTCCAAATGTTCAAGCTCGGTTCAACAGTTTCTCGTCCTCGTAACACTTCCTCGCTGATTTATGTTCCAGAAAACCCCCCGAGTGGCAAACAGATGGTGTCCAAAATGCTGGTTATCAAGAAGGTTTCCAAGGATGATTCCAGCACGGCCTTCTCTGCTGGGTTTGCCATTGCTGGCGCCTTGCCCACCAATGGCAGCAAAGTTCCCATTTTAAGCTCCAGCATCTACAAGAACCTGGTCCCAAAGCCTGCCGTGGCCCCCACCAAGGTAGGAATCATTTCAACAAACGCATGACGCACATCTGTATTTAAATAACGAGCGTTGTGTGTCAGTGTTGGTTATGTAGGTCTCTTTGTTTGTGAAACAAATATGTTCTCTCTTTTTCTCCAGAGCACCCAGTGGAAATCCGGTGGTAGAGAGATCACGAAGTCCGGCCTTCACATGCCGGGCCGAGATTCCGTCTTCACCAGCCCCGTCTCTGCAGCCAAACCCAGCACCCCCGTCAGTGCACCACTGCACAACACCCCGAAAGAGGTAGGAAACAGGACTGAGGAGTCTGTCATTACAACAAGCTTTAGGGGAATTTGCAACCCCACCATGATGCAGCAGTTTACTCAGACACCCTGCTAACATGTAAAACTGCACAGCAAGCAAACTCCTACAGTTTTTAAGTGTGGTAGTGTTCAGCTCTTATGCGCGACTGTTTGAGTAAATCACAGGTTTTATGGAAACGTAGTAATTATGTGTCGGTGTAGTTTCCGACTGAGATCCTTACTCGCATGTGCACATGAAGTTTTCCTCTGCAGCAGTGCACGTGCTGTCAAGAGTCGTAAAATGTTAACTGTTAGAGGGGAGTGAATCTGTCAATTATTCGAATGCACAACACCTAGAAGCAGTTAGATAAATCTGAACTCTCTTTCTATTTAAAAAGTGCTTTAATATAGAAAACGTCAAATTTTCAATACCAGTATCTATGCGAGTTACCTCGGGACATAAACATTACAAATACTGACTACTGCAAATGCTCAAATCTGGTTTAAAAAAAACAATTATAAGAACATAAATTTGGCTCTGCCTCCTAATCCTAAATGGATTTCATAGTTGATAAATTGGTGTCCCAGTTGAGCAAAAAGGAATACATTATTAACTCTCCTCTTTCAATGGCTTCTCTTCCCTTTCCTGTGGCACCGTCTCTCCTACAGCACCCTTCCAGCACGACTCCTCCCATAGACATCGCCCCGTCGAGGCTGAAGCTAATGCGGCGCGGTCCGGACCGCAAGAGCGAGTTCCTGCGAGCTCTGAAGGACGAGGGCACCGGAGAGCTGGTGACGAGCAGCAGCCCAGGAACATCAGGAGAGGTAGGCGCCACTTTGACTTAACTTTATCAAACCGTCGCACGGCACAGTAGTCACAGAGGAGAAAATGCTGGTCATGTTAGATGAGACATAATAAGGACATTCTAGTGCTAAATTCAACTGCTAAATATTGCAAAAGAAGACATTTTGCCGTTGCTGCACTTTTGACTATGTTGCAATTGGAGGAGGTAAATGTTTTGTGTCTTGTGTGCATTTTGTCAGGGTGACAGCAGCACCCCAGAGCCCAAAGCCTACAGCGAGGAAGTCTGCCACGAGAATGGTCTGTCCTACTCCCTCAGTGACTCCGACACTGAACACCTGTCCAGTTCCCTGGAGGCAGAGCACAGGTAGGTCACCGCTGACCGGCTTCTACACACACACGCGCACACACACCACCTCTTTCTCTCACAACAATCCACTAAGCAGAAAAATTGCATTGCTTTTAAAGGTTGCTGAAGGCCATGGGCTGGCAGGAGTACCCAGAAAATGATGACAACTTCCTGCCTCTGACTGAGGACGAGCTGAGAGAGTTCCAGACTAAAACTGAACAGGTGAGCTCAGACGGAAGGACTGTGTGTTCCTGGAGTGCCTTGTTGTGTCTTGTTTTTGGTCCTTACTCCTCATGTGTCCTTTGACCAGCTGAAGAGGAACGGCATGCAGAGGAACGGGGCTCTCCCGAGGGCGCGGGGTGTGACCCTCCACTTCACCCCCTGGAGGAGTGTGGCCGAGGCGCACGTCGAGGAGGGCTCCGAGTCGGAAACCAGTAGCAGCAGCCAGACCTCCGACGACGACGACTGCATCAAATCCTAACGTGGCTTTACGGAACAAAAGAAAAACATCAAACGACACAAATGCCAACAAAACATCCCAGCAAGCAAATCCCCCCTCTTCCTCTCATCTTTTGTTTTTAGAGCACCATTTTGAATTTCTTTTGTTTTGATTTTTTTTGTTGTTTTTTTTGTTGTCATTCTTGCACAAGGGAAAAACCAATCATATCCCAGTGAAGGGGGAGATTCCTGCTCCGCCAGACGTTGTTTTCCCTGCGTTTCCTCCTTCACTGCAGTCCCGGTCCTCTTCGAATCCCCTCCTCTTCCTCCCCTTCTTCCTTTTTTCTTCCTCGCTTTGTGGAAGTGACGTGTTCATCAAGAAAAGAAGGGCAATGAATGCACACTTGATTCTGCTTTAAACAGACTAACTCATTTCATTGATGATGCTGATGACACATTATTAATGATATTAATAAAAATTGGTTCCTGACAAGCTGATATGTTTCAATATGAATCTGGCTACTGTGGTGTTTATTATTGATGCCGCACTGCTTTGTGGCGAGATGAGTGTTCACTAAAATGCAGCTACGAAAACATTTTATTAGTGCTGAATATAACTGGTGCCTGTATTTTGATTTGTTCCAAGAGGGATTGTAGCTTTAAAGAAGGGCGTTCGTCTCCGTAGAGTGAGAATAAGAGCAGATAGATATGCAGAAACTTAGTACTTCACGAGAGACCAACGTAGAGCAAAACCACCTTTTTCACGAGGTTGGTATTAGAAGATATTTCTGCACAAGCAATGACATTTTTAAACTGCCGATTTAATGGAGGACTTCAATTTAGGGGGAAAAGCTACTTGCAGAACTGTTCTATACTTGGTGTGTAACTTTATCCTCATTTGAGTTGAGGTTTTTCCACAGACAACTCGTCACTGCAGGAAAAGCAGAGATTACTAATAACGTGTCCGATGGCTTAACTCCATGTAGGTGTCGCACAATACAGGGTTGTAACATTTGGACCAGAGCATTATAATTATCTACACCTGTTCCTTTCATTTTGACTGGTCCATATGTCTGCTGTGAAGCTTGTGTCTCAAAGTTCAGCAGCAAATATATTTCAGGCAAGTTAGATATTTCCTCACAGCAGACAGTTTCTGTTCGTTGCAGGAAAAGCACGGCTGTCATCAACCTGAACCATTCAAGGCTGCTTTCTGTCCCCGTGTTAGTTCCAAGGATCTGTTTATGGTCCTGATGGTTCAGAGACAGACATAGGCCCAGTCCCAATCTTCACACTCACGGAGGATTCAGGGCTGTCCAGTCAAGTGTTAGGAGACATTGAGAGCGCCCCAAAGGCCTTAAACCCTGAACCCTCAGGGACTTACTGACGTCACCTGTTAAGTGGTTGAATGTGAGAAACTGGGCTTGAAATGGTGTAAATACAAAACACTTTGCAGCAACATCACGTTACTATGTCAAATATGTACAATTGTGGGTGTTTCATACTTTCTACTCCCTGATTTGAACATCTTCCTGGCGCTTTTTCCTCACAAGATGTAACTTCAGATAATTTACTCGTAACGGGGGTTACCAGTGGAACCGTGGAGACCTAAAAGGTTAAACTATTACACCCGTTTTATTCAACCATTTCTTTATTGAAGCAGATTTGACAAATACCTCATCTTGTGAGGACGGATGCTGGAAGATATTCAAATAAAAGGGATGAAAAAGTATAAAATAGCTACAATTGTTCATTGTCTGAGTGATGCCTCATTTGTATTTACCACTTGCAGCCTTCTGCAAAGTCAGTAAGCCCCCGAGGGTTTAAAGCTTTAGAGGAGACGTTGGGATTGGGTCCCAGAGCCACCATGTTCGCATTAATACTTTATAGTTAAACCTCCACAGTGAAGTTGGACGCAACATTTTGAACACAGGATGTTATAAAGTATTTCCCAGGTTGTAGCCACATTGTTCATCAGAAAAACGGGTCAATAGTTTTGGGCAGCTTAATTATACAGAATGAGCAACTCATTCAAAAATCAGAGTACGATCAAACAAGGTTTATCAAAGAACACTTAATTCAACGTTAAAGGTTACATATGTTAACACCAACATCACAGCAGGGATAGAAAAAGTCACACATCTACAGCAGCAAACAAGTGGAGCGACAGTAAGAGCTCGTCGTGCTGGTGAATCTCTTCACGGGCAGAGGGAAATAAAAAGTCCATCTTCACTGGCTGGAAGAGAAAATGAGTTGAAGTTAGGACTCAAACAGAAGAAAACAAATGTACATTAAAGCTCTGGAGTTATTGGAGACTTGTTGAGCTATAAATGGTTGAAGTTGGGGCCATGAAGACCTCATCCAACACTGCGTCTCTCACCTCTTGACTTCCATACTGTCAGCGCGTCCGTTAGTGTCTCCGTTGGCTTTGTGAACATCGTTAGTCTGTCCGTCATCCTGCTTCACCTTCTTCACCAGCCCCTCCTTCACCGGACTCTCCTCAGGTTTCCTCTGAAACAGACACGTTCATGCAAATAAGACAAAATCTGATACGCAATTCATTTTTCGATTCCGTTAAAAACAACATCTAGCTCCCTCACCTTCTTCCTGACCAGGTGGGAGATGTCTGAGACTGCAGCTTTGGAGGCGTGTCCGTTGGTAGAGCCGACTACGATGGTCGACTGTGTGGACGACAAAATCCAAGACGTGTCACTACTTAGCCAGAGTGAAAATGTTTAAGCCAAACCAAATATTCCTCTGTAGGAGTTACCAAATATATCCATTATTCTTACAAACACATAGGCCCATCATCATTTCTTTACGACAGATGCTTCAGAGTGAGAGACTTACCGTTGAGCTGGATGAGGCGTCACCGTTCTGCACAGTGGAGGCGGGGAATGCAGAGGAAGTGGAGCCTCCGTCCTGACAGGAACATTAAATGAAGTCACACTCAAGCTTGTATACAATTGGTCCTGTTGACTCACACCTGCAACAAGTCTAAAGTTTATAGTAGAGTACATCATATGTGGATCTTATAGTTTAAAAATTAGATTGCATATTCCATTGGCTTCTTCTACAGCACTTTTTCTATGCAAAACCATAATCTATACGCGTCTGAAATACCTACATCGCAACATGACAAACCACACCCCCTTTCCATCCCTAACCTACCAGTGCACCCTTCCCATCCTCCTCAGCAGCCGTGCTCGTCATCTTCAGGCCCTCGGTGGCGTCCTCCACCTTCTCCTGGATCTCCGGCAGCAGAGTCTTCAGCTCCTCCATCTCCTTCCTCTCCTCTGGCAGAGCATCCGGAGCCTCAGCCTTGTCGAGCAGCTCCTGCAGTTTGTCTGCCGGACAAAGTGGAAACGTCAGCACACGTACCGAGGGCAGTGGTCACAATCGGCTGAAAACACGGCGGCCGAGCCCGCTTACCCAGCCTGCTCTTGATGACGGAGATGGAGCTCTTGAGCTCCTCGATGGCCCGGCTGTACTGGACGTCTAAGCTGTAGGTCAGACCGAGATGGTAGTGCGTCTCGGCCAGCAGGCGGCTGTCTGAGTCCAGGTGCTTCACCTGCAGCTTCAGACACTCCCGGAAATCCTCCAACGCCTGAGTGTAATTTCCTGGAAGACAGGCAGCAACTCAAGACACTTCTCAACGAGGAAATAAGAACAATTTAAAAACAGGCTCAGTGTTTCAGGCACGTGTGTTTTGTTAAAAGTTACTCTACAGTCTGATAATAATCTGATTCATTGGGGGATCTGTTAGTACCTGATTCAGAAGAAACTTCACCCAGTTTCAAGTGAGCCTGGGCTGCCATGAGTTGATCCTCTTTGGTCTCTTTCCTTGTTAAAAAAAAAAAGGAAACATAAGTCAACATGGAGGCTGTAGTTTAGAGACCATAACATTCAGATCGTCTCCATCATGGCTCAGTACATAGCTGGTGTCTCCATTACCTTTTGTAGATGACTTTAGCTACTTCCAACATCTCCCAGGCGAGCTGCAGGTTCCCCACCTCCTCCTCCTCCTCCTCCTCATCACTGTCCTGAACACACACGATCATAGATTTAAGATCTGACACTTAATCACCCAGCAGAGTCATTCTGACGTGTGGTCAAGTACCTTTTCAGCAGCATCGTCTTCTTCGCCTTGCTCTTCAGCCTCCATTTCTGCATCATCATCTTCCTCCTCGCCATCTGAAAAATCAATAACGTGTTCAGATAAACTGGGCAGTGCATCATTACAACCATCAGAAAGCCATTTTCAATCAAAGTCTGTAGTTGAAGAGAAAAGTCACCTTCTGTTTCCTCTTTCTTATCACATTTGCTGTTTTTTTCCTCATCTTTCTCTGGAGTGTTTTGTTGCTCTTCACCAGCCTTCTCCGCGTCGCCCTGCTTCTCCGCGTCGCCCTGCTTCTCCCCGTCGCCCTGCTTCTCCCCGTCGCCCTGCTTCTCCCCGTCGCCCTGCTTCTCCCCGTCGCCCTGCTTCTCCCCGTCGCCGCCTTCGTTCTTCTTCTCTGCCATGGCATCATACACCTGCACCCTCAGCTCATCTCTGGTCTTCTCTGTTGAAGTTGGAGGAGACAGTTAGGAGGAGCAGTGGAATAGCTTCCCTGATAAAAAAAAAAAAAAACAAGCCCAAGTAGAGAGGGTTCTCTACATTTAAAATGACTCCCTCACCATCAATGTTTTCTGTGCTGTCAACATTTGAGTCTTTGGGTTTTTCTTCATCCTCCTCTTCTGGTACTCCTTCCAGAGCATTACCAAGGACCGAGTTCTCCATCCTACAACAACAGCATCAGTTAGGTCTACATTCTCACAAATTCCTTAAAATGCAGAATGACCAATACAGCCACGCACAAGACTGTAGACCTTACCGTGCCAAATCCAGCAGCGCTTTACCACACCAGAAGAAAGCCTCTCCACACTCGTCTGCTGTGTCTCCATACTTTTTAGCCCTGAAAACAGACAAATTAAGTCATAATGTCAGATTATAATCAGTGGGAAAGCGCACCTAACAAGCACTGATTATTGCATATGCAAAACAGCTTCTTTCTATCGTCTCCTCGTTAAACTCACAGCATACGGCAGGCCTCTTGCAGGGCGCTCACCGCCTCCACCACCTTTCCCATCACCAGGTGCTTCTTGCCCGAGCCGATTAGCTTGTTGGCCTCCTCCATGTTTGATAAACTGGACAGACAGAAAACTACTTTTAAACCAGACTTTAACCAAATAAATCAGTTGGGCCCGTACGTCTTTACAAATGTTAACTTCCTGTGTGAAAGTCTTATGTTGAAAAAAATGGTATACCTTGTCCGAGAGATAGCGACTGAAACGTTAAAAAGCGGTGTCGGCAGCTCGTCCCTCCTGGTGCTCAGAGTTACTACTCCGTTGTTTCAACTTGGCGCGAAATATTCCTGCCTTTTCCGGTCGATTTCCGTGTTCGTAAACTAGCGCGGGATAATTCTTAAAGGCACAGAGCAAAGCTAGGCCAATACGAGTTGAGTGCAAGAGTGCTACATCTGCTACTATAGTGTTCAAAATTAAATAAACATCATATTATAAAATCATTAATTGAAGCAATACTGGAAAAAACAGTTTATTATAAAAAAAAGTGAAATAATCAATACGTGTTTGACAAAAAACGCCTTTTATGATTTGTTAGATCCGGGGGTTCTCTGGCCCGATACGGGGCTACCTACTGACTCAGCTCTCTATTAAAAGATTGTCGAGCTGGTGTTCTGTCGAGGAAACTCGCCTGGCTTCTGCTAACTACCGTTACTCCTGACGTCTACCCTGCTTCCACTGGTAACGTGCACTCGGCCGAGAGGCCACCCTGGCCGGGCGCTTCTACCTAGTCGCGTCGGTTATGGCAGCTTTCCTCTCTTGGTTCTTGTGTTCAGACATTTTACATCTAAGAAGCTTCTTTTGTTACATGAAACAAAAATGGGTCTTCCATACCTGAGTCGGGTTGGTCACTGTGCAGAATACATGTGACCCACGAGTCAATCGAAGGGATGTTCAGGGCAGCAGGGTTTCACCTTGGACCAGGAATCAATGCAGCTACAGGGAGAAAGAACAGGAAAGACCGGGTGGGGACGCAAAACATTACATATTGATTAGCTCATGTTAAATGTGTCCGAGCCTCTACGGCGTCTCCCACAAGGCTCAATCCTCTGACTGACGGTGTGTGGAGCTCTGAATGAGTTCAAGGACTCTCTGGTCAGTTAAATGCAACGAGACCAGAGAGAAGATGCAAGAAGTGTAGTGAACTCACTAATATAAAGCTGGAACAAAAGAGTCAATGGACAGATAACTTAATCTTCAACTATTTTGATTTCCCATTAAACGTTTAAATACATTTTCAAGGAAAAACTCCAAATATTTATAGTTGTAGCTTCTAAAATCGTGACAATTTTCTCCATTGTCTCTCCCTTGTGTGATCATTAAAAGGAGTAGCTTTGGGTTTTAAACTGTTGGTCGAACAAAACAAGCAATTTGTAGATATTACCTCAATCTTTCTGAGATTTTGAAGCCATTTTTCCACCTTTTCTGCCATTTTATTGACCAAATGATTAATAAACTTATCGTGAAAGTAGTCAAATAAGTGTAGGGTTGCTCCTTGCAATAACATGATTTTCATTAGAAATAACTTTCCTTGTGTAAAGGGTGTGAACATTCTAAAATTAAATTTTTTTTTCTTCTTCCAAATCTCAGTTGCTCTACTGGCTGGACCAGAATTTGATTACACAGCCAAACAGCCACACCTACAAACTGTGGCACAAAACAGTTTATATAATCTATGACCAAAACAAAAAGATGGTCACGCGTGCGTTTTATCTGAGATCAATGTTTGGTTTCTTCTCTCTGCTAGTTATCCATCACGGTTCAGCATTTGAGTGCTTTAACACAACATTGGGAAACAAAATAGCAGGCGGGACCTTCCCTACGACGGAACACCTAATCTTTGGAAATGTTCAAGCCTCAACAAGACGGATCTCCTTCTGTGCTGAAATTATGGGGAAACCAATGACTCCTCGAAAGTTGGGAAAAAACCAAAAGTGTTGAACATTACATGCTTTGAAAAGGCAAATCACTGCAGCAGTAAACGAGCTGAAACATGCAACACTGGTGGCTCTTAAACAACTTCATGGTCACTTCTTTTAACGAGGAGTTTCAAAGCGCTTACAGAACTCTTAGCGTAAATCTGAGAGAGCGTCTCATTAAAATGTAATAATGATGCAGTCATCGTCAGTTGTGAAAGCTCCATTGCTCAAATATTCACATAATGTAACAGTTAGGAGGACAGACGCACACTAATTGCTTATCTTTATCTCATGTTCAATAATAATGATTCTTAACTCAGCTTCGGTTGATGACGTATTGTATGAAAGGACAATGGGTCTCTAACAATCAGATAGATAGATAGATAGATATAGATCCACACATTTGTTGTTTTTTTTTCTGCTGAACCGATCTGCGAGTCAAAACCATGACACGATTGGTTGCACCTTTACTAATTTGCATGCAACACTCTCCTACACGAACGGCCGCCTCTCTCGGCCGCCAGGATTCTTCTTCTTGGA